TAGGTGGTTGCGTTGTTGTGACAGACTCATTTAGTGACTGTGGCTGGAACATCATTTTTCCTGACACACCAAGCACTGGAGCACGGAGAGGTGTCTCCCACTGGTAGAGAAAATGGGTCAGAACTTCCCACCATGGCAAACAGGGATCTGATACGCTCTGAACCATCGCAGGAGCTTTTAGTCGGGATCATCGTGAAGGGATGCTCCACGCAGGAAAAGGCTCATGCTTCAGAAACTATGAGTTCTACACACTTTCTAACCAAAGGAAAACTAGAGAGGTTAAGGCTTAGCACATACCTGTACTACGGGAGCTGCTGTAACGCAGCTCTCCTTTGGAAATGGGTACAGGACTGCTGTCGGGACCACTGCAGTGCCCCCGTGTACCATAGTACTGCGAGGAGGCTGTCATCTTAACGAAAACGTTCCTACAAGCTATATGACACCTGCATATGCAGAAGAAAATAACAACCACCATTTTAGCTAACCTAAGTTTATCTATAATTAATTGCCAGAATTTTTTTGCATTGCTTTATAAGAGCTTCCAGTAGATAGTCTTCTACCGGTTAACATATAAAGGAGCTGCAGTGATTTTTTATCCCCTGAACATTCAGCTCCATAACTGCACTGAATGAAACCTTGCATGCAAACAGCAAGATGCTTAGATTTGCCCTGTACATTCCCTGTAAAGATCTGACTTTCATTTTATACCTAGAAAGGAAAAAAATCCACAACATGGCAGAAAAATGAGGTTATATAAACCTTTCCCTGACTACATCTGCCCACTGCTGCCAAGAGGTCTGCACAGAGATTTGTCTTGCAGGATCCCTAATGCTCCTGACCGGGAGATGTGTTATTCTTTTGGTGGTTAAACTGGTGCAGCAAGGCTCATTCTGTGCCAGCAACAAATGGAGGGTTTATTAGGGAACTATGTATCTCTAATATATGTATATACAGGGAAAAATTAAAATATATTCAAGGTTATTCATCTTTCTGCATTACACAAATATTTTCCTTAGTGCTATTTGATCTATTGATCTTTAATTCTCTAATTTTTTTTTTTTTTTTCAGTTAGTTTTGGTGCACATTTTGAATTCATGAGACCAACCTTCTGCATGAGGGAAAACAAAGCTGCAACTCTACTCCCATGAAGGTCCCGGTTTCAAAGCTAGCTTGGGGATTTTTACTTCCACCGCAATTAAAGACAGCTGCAAATCTAAATCTCTCCGGCTGCCTGGAAGAAGATTCAGCTTTAAAGAAGGAAATTGGTCAGCTGTTGAAAAAGGAGACTCAAGTGTCCGACAGATGCAAGGAGGCACGCTAAGGATGGAGGCAGGTCTCGGCAGCAGTGTGAGGTACATCAGGAGACCACCACCAGACCTCCTTACTTGACTTTTTTATATATGCATTTGGTGTTATTGCCGGAGCAACACTAGGAGACGGTGGATTTCCCCAAAAAGGCCCTAAAAATGAGAGGCACTTTGTGAGAGGTTCAGCAATTCTGGTTTAGGAAGATCAAGATGACAGAAAAAATGGGATTCCTTCATGATGAGCTCTGCTGGGTGAGGGAATAGAAATGATGGGAGCTCTATCCCTGGCAGTATTTAGAAACAAGACTGGAAAACCACATGAAAATCTACTGAAGGTCTGCTCTGACAGAGGAATGGACGTGTTATCCCACTAACAGCCTTTCTCCAGCTCTTTTGCTGTGCATCTCCAGAACAAATTAACTCCAAGTATTTTTGAGCTTGGCACCCTCCAAAGTCAATCCTTTTGGTGCTGTGCTCGCTCAGCCTGGCCACCTTCATGGCGTCTTATTATGAGTAAGAGCTCTTTCTATAAACACAGTAATATGCCTGGCAGTATTAAACAGGCTGACTTAGGAGCCCCAAAAGCCACCAGCTCCAAGTATTTATTTGTCCTGGATGCTCCATTGGGTTTTAAAGGTCAACTTTATTTTGAAAATACAGTAATCTGAGTCTTCCACTGGTCTCTCCTCCCAGAGATCTGCTGGTACAGTGCTGGCTATTGGAGGCACACCCCATCTTAGTCAGACCATAACGAAGCATGGAAGAAACCATGTTCCCATTAACCAAAACAAATCCAGAGCCGAGAGTCAACAACCCAAGTTAGTGCAAAGCTAGCGTAAGAAAACGCAGAGAGGCTGAAAGGCAACAGCCTGGCTGCTGCTGAAGGGTCTGGGTGCCGTTGTGATGGGCAGGAGAGCTGGAGCAGCGTTGCTCTCTGCAGCAAAACTGCAGCGACAGAGATGCAGTGTGCTGGGTGCCTCCGGGCAGCGATATCAAACTCGGCACAGCTGTGACAGCCGCTGTTCGGTACCTCTGGCCATCAGATGCTTCCTGCCCCAAAACACAGGGGAAGAACATAAAGACCAAACTATATCCACCACTGGCTGGCTGTACTAGAAATAGTGGGACAGTCTGGGGGTACAAACCCCTTCCCATGTCCCGGGGCAGAGGCAGCATCCCTCCCCAGGGCGGACGCTGGGACTCCTCCATGAGCAGGAAGCTCAAGGGGAGGATGCTCAAAGCTGCTTGTGCCATTTCTCTATCCCACTCCCTGCAGGAGTGACAAAACTTTCTGTTTGCTAATCTCTGCCTCTATTTTTCTGGTTTTCCTAGAGCAGCCCGCAGCAGATACAAGACACCTTGCAGCTGGCAAAGCCGCAGCCGGCCGTGCTGGGGAGGGATGCCGCCTAAAAACCCTCCTAACCGCTGCCACAACCCACCGCGTTTGCAACAGAAGGTTTGTACCTCTTCAAGGACTCCTGCTTTAATCCTCACCATAGCAACTCGGCTATGATTTTTGTTCGCTACGCAAACGGTGTCTAATAGAGAGGAGAGTTCATTTTACTCCGTGGCTGGAAATGCAGGTGAGGCTAAACCTGGCTAGACAGACCTGAGAAGATGGGCACCTGAGAAGATGCTGGGGCCATCGCAGCCGCCAGCGCGCAGCTGCCCGCTCTGCCCTAATCCTGGCTGAGCCCACGGGGCTGATCACGCCGGTGGCCCCATGCCGGGGCAGGCAGAGGATGCCCCTCGGTTACAGTCCCACTGTCTTTCCTCACTTCTCCGACACGGCAGGAGCATGAAAACGTCTCTTCGCCGGCTTTGCCCCAGCAGATCTCTCCCTTTCAATTTAGGTCCGAAAATTGTAAGGCAGCTGGGAAGAAGGCAATGGCTGAAGAGCCCAGGGGGGCTGTTAGAGCCACCAGAAACAGAGGCATCGATTTTAATTCCTGGCTATGGCGGCATTAGCTTTTAATGACATGGGGAAAAGGACGGGGGGACTGGCAGAGCCCCGGGGGGCTGCGCACAGCCGGGCCCCGCAAGGCAGCACCTCCGTAGCTCAGGGCAGAGCTCGCCAGCTTACCAAGGGGATTAGTCCTCCATTCAAAACCTGCCTAGGAAGCAGCAAAGAGAGAGAGCAATTTTCTTCTATGGGAAGAGAACATATTAATACAGCAGCAAATATTGTATTCATTACAGGATTGCAGCTAATCTGGTGTCTGCTTTTATTCTGCTGTTGTTCTGCTCCCGTACCGCCTGCAGCAAGCAGACTGGGACAAAGGCAGAGCCAGGCTTCCTTATGACAGCCCGCAGATCTATTGGGGCAGGGGAATTTGGGGTGCATCTATGTGCAAACCCCGTCCTCTCTCAAAGCAGCTCGCCAGCTTTGGGAAGGGTGCAGGACGCAAGCAAAGCCTGACCTACAATGTATTGAACGTGCGATACTCTGCGCTCTGACAACACGACAGACCTACATATTTACCAGACTGAAAAAATGCTTTGCCTGGGATTTGCCCGTGTTGTTTTTTGCCCCGGAGGGGCTCAGAGGACCACCTCGAAGAGGGGCCATACCATCATCATCACCATCAGCTGCCTGAAATTCCTTCCCGTCTGCGCCCCTGGCCTGGGGACATTACCCAGCACACCGAGAGTCAGGATAAATGTAAGAGACGCTCTGGCTCGTGCAAATTAAGGGGGTGGCTGCTCTAATAGCCCATTTACTGCAAGTCCTTTTTTCAGACGTATCAGTGACCTCTTCAGAAAGCTAATTTAATTACCCTTCATGTATGAACCCTTCAACAAGATTTGGGATGAGTTCAGTGTGAGGCAACGGGTTTCTTTGTGCAAAACCACATCAAAACCCCAAAAAGAGGAGAAATCCCCCCTTATTCTTTGGTGGACTTCTGCAATCCAGGAACCAAGAGCTAAACCAAAAGCAAGCGCTTCATATGGAGAATGCAGCCAGGCTGTGCAACTCACGGACACCCAAAGTCACCCGGTCAAATCCTGCAGCTGGATTTTAAATGGAGTGGATAATTTTATGACCGATCGCATTTGTAGCTGGTATGTTAAGACAAGGGTAATGAAATCTTATGCTTTGGGGCACATATGGATCATTGCACAAGTCAGGCAGGCATCTGCCCCTCCCCTGCAAGAGAAATTGTAATTGGCAGGGACTGGAAGGACTAAAGTTGAAATTGGGGATTAAAGGGGACACAGGTGCCATATGGATCTGGGAAAAGGGCAAATTCAGCTCCTTCTCAACTGCGACAGTCCACAGCAGCAAATAACGATACTGAACTTGACAGATGCCTGGACCGGTAAGAGTTTTGCCCACCTCGACTGAATACAGTTATCTCCCCAATAATGGGCCAACTCTGCTCAGTAGTTCCAGGGATCCTTTTGAGGTTGGTATTTCAAGGGTTTATTTATAGCAAACCAGCTCTATTACCTTCACAAGAGTTGGCAACACTTACTATGGTGAGGAGAGTGGCTGGAGGCTAGTATGCAAAAAAGCATGAGCGGGGGCTTTGTCCAGTGTAACAGAACATTTGGGGTTACCGACTAGAGAGGTTAGGACATGCTCTTCTTAAAACAGGCTGAGAACAGTCACTTGGGACCTGCCACCAGAAATCCCGCTGTTCTGCCCAAAACCAGCCTTTGCCAGCCCATTGCTCGGCTCTGGCCAGTTACCTCCTCCAGCCTTCGCCTCTGCTCCTTCTGCTCCTCGATCCGCTTCTGCCGCTCCGCCAGCAACTGCCGCTTGTGCTCCTCGTTCTCCCGCTGCTGCTGCTCCAGCTGCTGCCGGCGCAGTGCCTCCGACCGCTCCTTGTTCGCCAGCTGCAGCCTTAAGAAATCCCGTCTCAGCGTCGACTCCCCGGGCAGGTTTAGGATGGAGCTGCATAGGAGAGAAGCATCAGAGAAGATCCCCTCCCCGCATCCTTAAACCTCTTGCCAGGGGAAGTTCTGCGTGATTTTCCACTGTGGCTCCTCTCCCCTTCATCCCGACAGCATCCCAACACCCGACAGAGCTTGGGAAGCAGCAGATGGAGGGATGGGGGGACCACAAATGTCGGGGCAGGGCAGCAGACACAGCGCTCTGTTCACAGCTCACCGGCAATTTATTTGCTAAAGGTTTCCTTTACATTAAGATTCTAACCAAAGCCTCTTGCGCTGCAGTGGCACACGCTATATTTAGCTGTTCACAAAGCACATTTAGCATGAATCATTGCCAGCTATTAAAATACTACATTATCTCAGTGAAATAATGGAATAACCTGATACTAATTACAACGGCTCTGAAAAATGTCACCAAAGAAAGAAAGTTCCAGCCCTACCGCGCTTGCAGCAGCATCGGGGAGGTTTCACGGTGAAAAGTTACATGGAAATTGGGAGTTACATTTGGATGTAAGGAACAGCATTTTAAAGAGTCTTCTTTAATTTCACCTCACATTTTTTCCACATCTAAATACCCACATTCCCATGACAGCACCACACCGCGCCGCAGATCCCACAGGCAATGGGGTACCCGGGTCTTCTTCCCCAGCTTTTGGCCAAGGTGACCTGTAGCATCAGTTTACACCCACACACCACCTAGCAGAGGGAATATGCTCCGTTCTGCCAGGAAACGGGACTGAGTGCTTCAAACTGTCCTTTTTCCATCTCTAATTCATAGGAGCCTGTAATCCAAGCTAATTTTATACAAAGTTAAAGAGATATAAGAGCAGAAATAAAATGCTGATTCTTACCTGGGCTCTCCGGAGTCATTTTCCTCCTCCTCCTCCTCACTTCCACTGTACTCGTACTCTGTCTCATCTAGGAACAGAATTGCCCATCAGTGCCCTTGGCTGGACTCATTTGTTTTTCCAGTGGTTGAAAACCCCAGAGCTCTGAAGGCAGAACAGACAACTCTCTTCTTCTCGCATGACACAGAATAAGCAGCATCATTTCTCTCCATTTTCTGTTTTTATGGGGGGCTACAAGGTCAGGGAAGCATGGGCAGTCTCCCTGGGTGCTGGCACCTTGCACGCCCGTGCTGGCTGGGAAGAGGGCTGCAGTCCTGGCTGGAGCGCCGCGGGCAGCACCAGCACAGTGGGCAATGGCCCCAACAACCGAAGACACTCGATGTAAAGATGGGGGATGTCCATAAAATAAGAATTTATCCCCGTATGACAGTGAGTGACCCCCTGCTTCAGGAGGGTTCTTCAAAGGGAGGTGCACCACAAGCTACTGAAGCCACAGGCACTGGAAGGTGGGATTTAACTATGGCTCTGAAGGCACCAACTCCTCTCTCTCTAAGCATATGCTCTTCCTATGCAAATCCATGTGTTTTCCAGGCAATGAAGACATCTACATAAAAGCCCAACTGCAATGTTGTGCTACATACTGCGATTTCTAGTGGGATATCCTCTTTATCGGATGAAGGGAATGATAGCAAAAGAAAGGCTTGCATTTATCCAATTACTCTCCATCTCTAGGGTCCAACCTTCATTTGCCAGACTAAACACATTTAATACTTCACTGGGATCCCATTTTATTGTTTTGATTGTAGTGAAATCTATTACAAGGGGCTGGAAGGTATGCATGAAAAATTAATACCCCTCCCAATAAGAAGAGAAATAGCGACATATTAATTTGCTGGATTATACAAATGAGCTTTCAAATTAAAATCTGGTTCACAAGCAGCTGAATATTTTAACAAGTTTCTTCGGCTATCTGATCTTCCTTTCAGAGGACTTTGATAGGGCCTGGAGAGTTCACTGAAAACATTCAGTTTAATAGGTTATTCCTAGTCAGCGGAATTGCTTTGGGGCAAGGGTCTTATCTAGATGTTCGTTTGCACAACTCTGCTCATCGCTGGTGCAGCATGAATGTCACGCAGATCAACAGACTTGGCATGAAATACGTGAGCTGGGAAAAATTCAGCTTAGCAGCTTCTCCCTCCCACACGCCAGTACGTATATATGCAGATGTAAATTTTATACACACGTTTTAATGAATCAAAGCTTAAATGTTCCGTGTGGAAATTACCACTTGGACAAAAAAGACACCATTTTTCACCAGGAAGAAAAAGATTTAAAACCACTGCTTAGCTCTGATGACAATCACCTGTAGGCTTTGTATGAAGACCGATTGCTTTGTTATGGATATTTATTTTCATTTTAATGACTGAGAGGAATCAAATCAAATCAAATAATCAAAACCATAAGAAGCGTGGTCACACAGAAGGACCACACCTATTTAACTCAACCAGTTTGCGAACAAACTTAACCATCTGAATAAGGGAAACTGGTACTGAGACCATGAGCAGCCCAGTCCTCTTTGCCTTCCTCCTTCTACCCACAGGTTTCACCCACACAGATGCACCTTGGTCTACCCTACGGATCTCCAAGCACATGGCAGAGGTGAAGGATTGCCCAGAGCACTGCTACTCCACTAACCTTTCTCGCCTCGCTTCTTTTTAGTCCTGTCGATGTGGTCCTTGAGCTGGATGCGGACTTGTCTTTCATTGGGCTGGTCTCGGATGAAAGGGTGCTTCATCAGCTGCTCCGTCGTTGGTCTCTGGCTGTGGTTCTTCACTAGGCAGCTCTCAATGAAGGACTGAAACTTTTTAGACCTGGCCCAGGACACAAAAGGAAGGTATTGAAAAAACAGGTAACTATGTCGATTCTTGTATTAGAAAGTGAGAAACCTGTGGGTCTTTGAGATCGTTTGGCTGCTACACAGTTCTTGCTCAGATGCAGTCTTCCAAGCGGATTCATGTGACTTCTCAGTTGATGCTTGGCACGTTCTCAAAGCAGCACCGTCACGTGCTCCCCCTCTCACTTTATCCTCTCCTACTCTTCCCATGCATGCCCCTATCTATGCCTTCTCCGTGCAACTAGAAGAAACCACCATTCTGCTGAGTCTAGAGAAAGCTGGGAACCATCAGTATGACCAGGGAATCACTAAAGCTAGATGTCATCAATGACAACCAAGAAAATGTAAGGAAGTGTTCCTCCTCCCTTCCCTTTGCCCTGTGAAAGTGCAGGTAGAGACAAGAGACAACACATGCAGATACAAATGCAATTCCTTAATGGATTATTTCCATATTTTGTGGCCCCAGGCGGTGTTTCAAGAGATGTACCTTTCTGAAGATGAGTGGGACAAGCTAGATTGATGGGGTTTTTAGATTTAACCACCCAACATTACATGGCTTGTTAAAGATCAGACAACCTCTGGGCGATGCTTGCTGCCTGCAGCCCTTCCCTGCTCTCTCAGGGTGAGCCCCAGCAGCCCCAGTGGTCCTGGGGGCCACCGTGTCCCAGTCCCCCCGATCACGGACCCGGGTGAATGGGATGTGCTCTTCAGGCAGCACGGCTTGGGCAGAGGTGGGAACACGGCTGTGGGTGACAGAGCCCTGCCCCTCCTCACAGCCTGCCTTCCCGCAAACAGTTAAATTCAATGTCAGCTAAAACAATTTCAACCAAATCTTTAATAAAAAATTTTTTCTTAGTCTCAAGTGTTGCATACCCAAAGTTTTCCTGGAACTAATTTCACCACATTATAAACCCGAGAGAACAGGGATTTACAAGAAAGATGTTGACAGGCCACTACACTCTATGTTGCTTTAGCAAGTAGGAAAATGAGTGTAAATTAATGTCAGAAGCCAACAGATACTACAGAATTGCATTAGAAGTAAAACAATAAGCTTTCAGGGATTTTACTTTTAAGCTGTCAGACTAAAAGTGATTTATCTTTTAAGTGCTAATCCATACAAATTGAGATGCAAAAATAAAATACGTTACTAGATCCAATTAATTCCTCCCTCCAGCTTTATTAACGAGCAAATCTTCCTTCCCCACCTTGCCTCAAGAAACCCCGTGTCTCGGTGTATTCCAGAAGGGACAATCCACGCGATGCTCTAAAAGAATCTGCTTCTAAAATACGATTCTGCCCTGTTGGTGTGAAGCTGGAGAGACTCCGGTCCTGGGTGCATGGTCCAGAGCACCCACAAATACAGTCCAGCTGAAGTAGCTAAAAAGTTATCCTCCAGTAAGTGATGGGTTTGCCCATCTCTTGGGCATGGGGGTCCCAGTGCCCTGCGATGCCCTAAGAGACCTTTGCATCCCCCAGCTGGCTGAGCAGCTACGGAGAGGGACCAGCTCACACCTCTGGTTTTCCTGAAATCTTCCTCTCCAAAAAAGCAAGCCTGTCCAGTGGCACTGTTCAGCCCTCACCAGGGCTGGAGCAGAAGACAAGGGCTTTCTCTCTGGCTTTGATCCAGGAGGACACCTGGATTCACACATCTCATCCCCTCCCTGGGCGCAGGTCAGCCCATCTTCACGAACCATGCGCTCCTCCAGCTCCTGGGGTTTATAAAGCTTAAATGAATGTTTGCAAAGTCTTTGCAGCTGCTTGGATGAAAAGTGGTATCACAGTGCAAATATCACTTCATTAACAAAGAGGTTTTGTCATCTCTTATAAAGCAGGCTAAGGAGTGTTTATGGGAACGACATCACTAAAGTTCAAGTTCATTTTATCTGTGAAACACGGGAAGAAGAAAACAAAGCTTCGTTGCTGGCTGGTTTTAATTGGGAAAGAAAATGATACCAAAGACTCTTTAATTTCATAGGAACACAGTGCTATTTTAAAAGCGAGTTCAAGGATTTAGTAAGCAATAAAAGTATTTTCCTCTCTGGGATTTTCGATTCGGGCCAGCTCCCATGCCTGCTTTCCCTCTCGGCTTTCCGTGACTTACCCTCAAAGGTGCTGGAGTCACTTCGCTATTTCTTTCACAAAAGGAAAAAGATGGCCTGCCCACGCTGTGTACTTTCACGTGTTGCTGCACACAGAAGCAAGGATGAACTCACGGTTCAAGTTGAACCTTTCTTCATTTTGTTTTTCTCTCATGATCTGTGCTTGTGAAAACCACTGACTGCCAAGGAGCCACTGTGAAAGCCTGGTTAAACATCTCCAGTCTTCTTGGGTCGGGCTTGCAGAGCTCCAGGACCTATTCTGGCCGGGCCCAAAACGTCCGGCTGAGAAATGAGCCAAGGACAGCAAGTTTGCCCAGTGTCCCACTGAAAATGCTGAAAAAAATTGCTCTTAAAGAATTGGTGGAGTCATACTGGCTTGGAGCTTCATCTGGGTCCTTTGGAGTTTCTCACTGCAATGAAAGCTTGGAAGATGGATATAGGTTTGAGCTCGGGGCACACGTGTCCCAGCTTTGGTGGAGACCAGGGATCCCTGCTTGCTCATGGAGGGGTAGCAGAGGCCAGGTGAGCACCACGCTCCCCTGGAGGGGTTCAAATCTGGAGTTTCATGAAACTACGACTTCCAAAGCAATCCCTCTCTCAAAGGACCCGAGATCCCGTCCCTGGGAGTGCAGCCGTGGACAGACCAGCCGACCCCAGGCAGACACCACCACGGTTCACCACCATGAGACGTAAAAACCTGAGACAGCCACCGGCCAGGCGAGGGGAAGGTGCTGCCAAGCAACATCCCGGCTTGCACAAAGCCCATCCCGGTATCTCAGAGCAGGGACTAAAATACAACTTCCACCCCAGCTCAGCTTTTACCTTAAGGAGACGGGGAAACGTTCTGCTCAAAACCTGCTTTCGTCAGCTCCCCTCTGCCTGGAGGCTGAGGAAGCCTTTGCTGAATAAACAGCACTTTTGCATGAAAAATAAACGCTAAAGTCTTACAATATGTTTTGTGCTGTAGCAGTGAGAGCATAATGAAGGAGGAGACCGGCAGAAAACAAGCATATAAACTATATTCTCAGCTGACTAATGGTATCCTCAAAAGGCTGCGCAAGGAGAGGGAGCATCTTTGACACCCTCTGCAGAGCCAGCTGGGAAAGGTCCGTCTCCTCCTGGTTTGGTACTGGAGCAGCTGATGATCAGGCTGACAAAATTAAGGTGCCTCCTGCCTAAGCCTGGGTGAGTTTTTAGGGGGCTGGTCCTAAAACCCCAACGCACATCTGATGCGGCGGACTCCAAGCCCCGTCTCGCTCCTCTCCTCTCCCAGCCGCAAAATACCTGCTGCTTTGGCACAGTGTTTTCAATACCTACCAATTATGCTTCTCCTTTTTCCACCCCCCCATCTTCAAAAAGATAAGAAGCATAATTTTAAGGAATAAGGCAAAAGCTCCCTCCGCGAGCTCAGCCAATCTAAGACCAAGGGGCAGTGCTGTCTCTCTAACATCTGGCAGATTTTTCCTGACCAAACCACTGCTGAGCCTGAGGCCAGTAAACAGC